AACCTCAGATGAGGACGGATAACATACATTTAATTTAAGCAACAATACAGATTTCACATTTCACCCTACACTATGCTTTTGTATTGTGGCAATGTAAGTCCTGGAATTTCCTGTTTGTTTTTGTTGTTGACCCTTTCTGATTTTTGTCATGGAAATTAAAGAAATGGAGTCTATACGATTCAGTTTTCAAGATGAGATGTCCGTTAAACATCAGCGATTTGTCTGTTTTCTCACCCCTCATTCTTTACTTGTCCCTTCTCTCCCCACCTCTGTTCTGAAGGCATTCAGGTGAGTTTCTCTTTAGTTCACTGAAAACACACCGCACTTCTTACACGGTGTTCTTAATTGCATTCTCATTGAGCTTTTCCATGTAGTTCCTAAGGTCCTTTGAGTCCCCAAGCTCAATGTCTGGACATACCCATTTTATATCACTGGTCTGCACCAGTGCTAATGGACTTAGCACTGGACACCCGTTACTTGACTTCACATTGGAGAAAGTGGAGAACTTCACCCTTTTCCTCTTGGTGGTGGGTGAGTTAAGGGACTCATTCCTGTGATCCCTTCCACTGCACCCTCCCCGATCAGTACTATCACACTGGACACCTCCGTTTAAAAGTTGACTGCCCTCCTCTAGGGCACCACTTAACTCTTCATGCTGTTGTTGCTGCAAACATAGGCCCTCCTCTTGGCCGAGCCAAACCCAGTCATGGGCGTGGGGCATAGCCTCCGGAGCCTCCAGAGAGAGTTGCTTACTACGATACTTATATGCATAAGAAATGCAGTTGATGAGGAAAACCAGGATGGCCAGGCAGAAGACACCCAACAGGGCATACATACCAATCTCCAAATCGGTCAGGCCTCGTCGAGACGGCAACAAGTCGTCATCTGTGCGGCCCCGAGGCAGTTCGGCTTTTTCTGAGTATTCAGAGATATCATTGGGGATCCTGTCTCCACTGTCTGCTGACAAACGTCCCCCACTTGGTCTCATTGGAATGTGGCCCCTGATGGTWGTGGCTCCACGGTTAATTAAGCCGGTTTCTATTTCCGAGATAGATCCACCATAATAAGGAGGATCAGGACGTGRTCTTCTGTCTCCTGGCTGTCTGTATCGCTCCTCTTGTTGACCAAACCTTACTTGGATGTTTACCATTCCAGTGGCTAATGCAGAGCGTTTTTTCCCCTTCTGGCACATATCTGATGGACTCATTTCAACACGTACAAGCAAACCTTGACCTTCCCCCTTGGCAACCACAACTGGCCACTTCCATGCCACACTGTGCTGCACCACCACCACTCGTTCATCCAAAGAGGTTGCTGCCAGGGTAAAATGGGCAGGGTTGTAGTTGTCCAGAGGAGTCATAGATCCATCACTGAACTGAAGCCAGGCACTGATGAGGGACTCCTGTGAATACAAAGCCAAACATAAACTGGTAAAACACCAGTAACACAAAGTGAAAATAAAATAAATGTAGACATTCATTTGCACATTTCTCTGAAATACTCAAGGATCAAAATAAAACAGAGGCACATGGGGGAAGCAAAAGTGTGTCTTAATTACAATAAAAAAAGCTGGAACAGATTTGAAACTATTCTCATGAAAGCCAAACATCCTCAAGGGAAGCGACTAGAGCCTATCATTATTCAGTGGCTGGAAATACAAATCAAAGGGAAAACCTTGTAGTATGATGTCTAATTTAAATAAAGGCCCAGCATTCTTTGAGGGAATGCATATCACCCACCACCTTTCATTCTAGCTGTTAGAATTTAAAGTGTGTTTGACAAAAATAAATATTTTTGTTTTAGCCAGGGGCTGACTGGCATACCGGGGATTTCCCCAGTGGGCCAATGGGTTAGTGGACCGATYGGCCACMGGTGGTTCAGCCTGTGGACACACTGCATCCCTTTTTTACCCCCTTCACTCCAGTCATCTGATCTGCTCAGTGCCTGACCTAAGGGTGGACCTGGACACACCTGAATGAGCACCACAGAGCCAACTGACTGCAGATAAAAACTTGTTCCTTAAAGCCCAGACTACAAAAACAAATCACCTTTGTGGCACTTATCAATAACTCAGCAGTTACGAATCAGAAAACTCTTGTCTTTACTAGTGTGACATCAATTATCTTGTTTGTCTCTCACATCCAACAGAGAAATGCAAAGTGCTGTGACTCCAGCTTGTTTTGGTATTCACCAGGGGCGACATCAATGGGAGGGGCCAGGGTCACCCAAGTTGTATCCACTTGGTGCTCGTTTTTAATTTCCTTTATTTAGTGTCAGTAGAACCTTATAAATATAAAATCATTGTT